TACGGTACACATTTCAATTTTTTCATGAAGGCTTGCAAGAAATCTTGCAGAGTCCTCTTGGTTCATGTTTTTCTCCTAGGAAGTCAGTGGGAAGGGGTAAGAATGGGTTATATATAAGTATAAGTTGTGGTTGCATCCTTAAGACGATTCTGATTTTTCAATCCTCTTCGTAAACAGGTTGGCGCGCTGACAAAGGGCTACAGTGATGCCAGTGCTGTGGCAGATGCCTTTGGTCATTCTGGGCTGGCCAGAGCGATCCGAGATCATTCCAAAGTCCTTGAGTTTCGACGTCTTCCGACCAGCTCTCGCGGTTATGGCGGCTTCATGCGCAGATCCGTGGGGATGCCGTAGCAGCGACAAGTCGATGGCAAAAATGCATTTGGAGGACGACCGACCACGAAGAGCAAGCACAAAAAGCGCTTTTGTTCTGGCACCCCCTTCGTTCATCCTTAAAGCTTAACTGAAGAGCGGTTGTGCACTACCTGACAAAGTAATTGCAGCTCTTCCTCGGTCTCAACAGGGATTTTGTCTTTCGGCACTGTCTTCCATGCGATAATCCTGCATGCTCAGGCGGCAAGCTTGCTATCTGGTCAGGGTACACCGCCTTTTTATGCAAGCTGTGTTTTGCTTCAATTCTGACTCGACTTGTGAGTCAATTGAGCCCCTTTGTTCAAGTTCAGCTGTAGTGTGCAGGTTCACCGACTGGAATTCACAAGTTTGCGCCTCCACCTCAGTTTGACAATGACTCAGCTTGTATTGCTGCCAATTCTCTCGATCTTTACACACGTGCCTATTGTTTGACTGCTTCGGTGGTTGCTTGCTAGGCCTGGGAACCCCTACTTGGTCTCAGTGATGCCAATGCCTTGTTTGAGAGCATGATGGACAATCCCAATCTCCTTGCCCTCTAGAAACTTGCAGTTTTTTGTTGACCTTGTAGTTCGACTTTGCAGGCCTCTCTTGCTGAACATGGCCACCGTTGAAGACTCGGGTCCAGTTGTCAACCTCAAGGCCCCATACTAGGGGCTCCACCCGTCAAATTCGCAAAAATAATGGTCGCAAAGTCTCGAACCAAGGCATGTGGCCCGGCTTTCGAGAAGAACGAGAAGTCTAAGCATGTCATCACTCAGGCGGGATTTCCAACTCAACATGTACTTGTTCGAGGTAAGATGTACACATATATACTGTATATGTATATATATATATGTATTTATAGATGCATGTCGTATAGCATATATATATATATGCAATATGGATGTGTTTAAGTATGCCTCTTCCTCGGGGTCAGCCATGCACACAGAGTCACAGAGGCACACATAGCCAGCTAGTGCCACAGGAAGCAGATTGTGAGTGAGAATAGCTAAGCTTTGGTGAAGCAGGACTCTTGGCGCCTGGTGAAGATTGAGCCGGAAGTGCAGGATGTTTTACGTGTCTTTTCATCCCAAGTTTCCAATATTATATACTTTGTTGCATGTTTCGCTGCTTGGCGCCGATGGCAAGACCATTGAGGAAGTGTTAGTTTTTGTCCGGAAGGATATCGCAGACCATTTCGGATTGGATGAGCGCATTACTGGGAAGCTGCAGGAGGCTGTGTGCTTTGTGTGCGCAGAGGCGGCTGAGTCCCGCTTCAACCTACTTTTGTCAGTGTCAGGCCCTGAACACACGGCCAGATCCTGGCACTGACCTTGAGGCCGGGACTTGTGGTGAGTTGCAAGAAGCCCTTTGGTGATTGCAGAGGTGATGTGGGAAATCCTGGACGAAGCCAGGAATCCGCCAGGTCTTACCATGATCAAGGCCGAGAATCGCAGCCAAGCAGAATAAAAGATGCAAGCTTGAACCACCCCCGGCTACAACTACGACAACAACAACAACAACCTACTGCTACTGCTACAGCTACAGCTACTGCTACTGCTTCTGCTACTGCTACTTCTGCTACTACTGCTGCTACTACTACTGCTACTACTGCTACTACTCCTCCTCCTCCTTCTCCTACTCCTACTGCTCCTAGTGCCACTGCTGCTGCCACTGCTACTTACTGCTCCTGCTATGCGGCCACTACCATGACGACGACTACGACATCAACCGTCCACTAAATATATTTTATAACTACTCCCACGGGTGGGGTCAGTTGCAGGAATAATTGTTGGAATAGGAATGGTATTTGTTGAGGGGGTCACGAAAACTTCTTCAAGAAAACTATGTATATAATGGGGGGGAGGTAGTATAAAGAATACGCTGATGCCAACCACCCATGAGAGTTCCTTTCCTACATATGATAAGCTTGAACTCAACAACCCGAAAATAACATTTTGATGTTAACAGCCCCTGAGAATATTGTATAATTTTGTTGAACGCACCATCCCATTGCCTGACATCCGATGACTCTCGGTGACTGTCAATGACCACCATGTGAATGCCAGATGTCGTCCACATTTGCGGAAAAACTTTTTTGGCTCAAATTATTCCGGTATGTGTAGATGTGTCAGAATAATTTCATGGAATCATGCCTAATTTCAGAAATATTCCACCCGGGGGGTTTCCCAAAATCGATTAAAGCACGGCCCATACTACAACTACGACTACGACAGCGACCACTACCACTACTACCACTATACCACTACTACCACTACTGCCACTGCCACCTCTACCACAACTACCACGACTACCTGACTACCACCGACGACAACGACGACGACTACGACTTGACTACGAACGACTACGACCACGGCTACTACTACTACTACTACTCCTCCTGCTGCTGCTGCTGCTCCCACTGCCACTGCCACTGCCACTGTCACTGCCACTGCTGCTACTACTACCGCTACTACTCCTACTGCTACTCCAACTACCTGTGCTACTAACTACTACGGCTACGACTATTCACGAAAGGTAGCGGTTACGCTACCTGAGTTTTCCTTTTGCTTTAGCAAAAATGTATTAACCCAGAGCTGCAGCCTATCTCTCGGAGAAATGGTCCCCGACATCTTCGTTTGCTGGCCGGGGGGGGGGGGCCCCCCCCCCCCCCCCTTTCAACTCCACCCTAGCGCGCCTCGGGGTCAACCGTTCGAAAACACTGTAAATATCAGTGTTTTCAGCTCTTCCAGTCCTCAGCAGTGACCAAAAATCATGGAATTTACAGCGTTTTTTGTGGCTGTCCGGCAAAAAACACCGCAAAAACCGATGGTTTTTGATGCGTCTCGGTTAGAAAAATGACCGAAAAAAGACCAAAAACCAGGAAAGATTTTGTCAGAAAGGGTTTTTGAGGCTTTTGGAGGCTTCAAAATTGCACAAAACTATGGTATTTACAGGGTTTTGTGCACCTTCCCGGCAGAAAACGCCGGTATTTACACGGTTTTCTGCGCTTTTCCAGCGCTCAACCGTGGTGCGCCTTTGGATCGACGGCTACAAAATACCGTAAATACCAGTGTTTTCAGCTCTTCCTGTCTTCAAGCGTGGCCTTAGACCTTGCCGCGGCTGTGGATCGACGGCAACGAAACCTCGTAAATACCAGTGTTTTTGAGCACGTCCTGTTTGCAAGCATGGCCTGCGGCCACGCAATTTACAGGGTCGCCGCACGTCACTATGTAAATCCGAAGTTGCATTTGAGAAATATGTGACTCCTTTTGAAGGCACGTCAACCTGTATTGAAACCGCTAGACCGCTACAGCTTCTGGAGGTTTTGTCAAGCGTTTGTGCACTAGTCTTTCTTTCATCACGCTCACTCACTTCTCTTCAAACAAGTGGGGGGCCTCTCACCTCCTCCCGGATTACGCCTGATTCCCTGCTACCTTTCGTTCACCCCCCTCCTCTCTCAAGTACCACAACATCGACTACGACGACTACTGCTGCTACTGCTACTGCTGCTACTCCTGCTGCTGCTGCTGCTCCCGCTGCTCCTGCTACTGCTACTGCTACTGCTACTGCTACTATTACTACTACTTCTGCTGCTACTGCTACTGCTACTGCTACTGCTACTACTACTGCTACTACTACTACTACTACTCCTGCTACTGCTACCGCTATTGCTATTGCTATTGCTGCTGGAACTGCTGCTACTGCTGCAGCTGCAGCTGCTGCTGCTGCATAATCATGAACGCTTCCTCTTTATAAAATGCTACCATTTGCAAACCAGCACTAACTTGTCACACTTGCCAGGTGAAAGAGATGCTGGAGGGAACCTTCCGGATGGGTGAGCAGAAGGATGTTGCAGCCTGAAGTGATTGAGTTTCGGTGAACATGCCCAGTTACACAAGCGGCAGGTTGCCAGAACAATCGGCAGCTATTTCAGTGGGGGCGATCTGTCAACCTCATGCTTTACAGGACACTAATCAAAGTTGCAAGTAGCGAGACGGGGAGTGTGTCGTATAGAGAGCACGAGCGCCTTGTGAACACTCCTGACACCAAGCGATTCCGATTAGGTGAGCCAGCAGCTAGGATGCCACACGCACGCTGGGCAGACACGGATGGTGCCATATTGGAAGTCCAAAGATGAGACATTTTTTGAACGCAACTTTTGACACCGCGGTGCCATGCCTCGTCCACACGTGGCGGAGCGCTATGCGGAGTGCCCTCTTTGCTTCAAACCTTTGCATTTGGGTGCTGTCGCAACTTGGAGAAAACTGAGAAGGATCTCTCACGGGAAAGGACATTGTGAATATATATATATATATTCAAACATAGTAGTATGTCCTACAGTGTTGAATGACAGCACTTTCACGCTCAAAGCTTCTGGTTCATGCACCAAGCATTGGTGGAAACAGCTAGGTCTTTGAGTTGGGGCGCCAGCTCAGGGTGGTTTGGATTGGTGTGCCCGGCTCACTGCAACTCGTCGGCCATCCTCCTCCTGGCCGTCTTCTCGGCCGGCTTTGCTCTGGGCTCCCTCCTCTCGGCCGCCGTTGGACTTTGGATTTTCTGGGGCTCTCCTCTGCCTCCAGCTTCATCCTCTCCTCGGCCTGCCTCCAGGTCTGTTTCCTCCACTGCCTTACGCCTGCAGGCGTACCTTCATGAGCGGCGCCGTCCTGAACATTCTCATTGAATCGGTCAAGGCTGTTGCTCTCACACTACGGACGCTGGCAGATACTTTGGACGCTGCTGCAAACAGGGCTTCGGCTGCTCGTGGCCTCGGCCCTTCGGGTGATCAGATTGCTAGCGGCTTGGAGCCGCATCCTGAGGATCGTATTCCTGACTCGGTGGACTGGGACTTGGTTAGCTACGTTTCAGTAGTGGCGACTCCCCTCCAAGGCCTTCTTCGGCTCCCCGGCTCTCTGTCAATCAGGCCTACGAGTTGGTGGCTTCACAGATTCCTCATCTCCCTGATACTTGCCTCGAGTTGTGCAACCGTCTCGCTGGCTCCCAGGACGAGGTACGTGCAAGAGCTGACAGGGCTTGGATTGCTGGGCATTGGGCTCGTGCTACATTGGCTGGAACTGTGCCAAAGCCTCGGCCTTCTCCAAAGCTCACGGCGAGGCCCACGGTCTACATCATCCTCAAGGCAGCCTCGATTTCTCATCCAGTTCGGGTGTCTTCTGCTGCTGACTGCTTCCGCCTGGTGCCTCGGTTTGAGGACAGCGTTTCTCATTCCTTCCCATCGTTGGCAGAAGGAAAGGTCTATTGCTTGGCCGCTGGAGTCGCGTTCCCTGACCCAGCGTCTGGGACGCAATGACCGTCATCCCAGAAGACTTCAAGGTCCTGGACCCGGAAGCTTTTCAGATTGCTGTATTGAGGTTGGACTTCGATGCAGAGCATGGCAACGGGTCGGAGGGCTTTGCAATCCCAGTTTTGGCACGTCAGGATGGCTTTTTGTTGGCAGTTCCAAGGAATTTCATCTGTCAGGAGATCATAGATCAAGGAGGCTATGCAGCTATGGACGACTTGGTAGGCCCGTCTCGGGTCGTAACAGTGCCTGCTGTCCTGGAGGAGGAAGATGGCACCCTCACGCCTCTCGACTTCGATTTGGAGGTCCTGCTGATAGACTTCAACCGGCGCATTCTGGATTCTCTCCGAGGCTTCGATCCAGTCACAGAGGGGCCGGGTATCTCTCTCTTCTGCGCGGACAGCTTCGATGTTCTCCCCGAGACCAACTCGCTTTTGGTGGCTACCACTCAATGGGTCGAGGAAGGGGTGGCCAGCGAGAGGGTTCAGTTCTATTCAGCAGACGAAGCTCAGGACCTACATGTAGACGCAGAGCCTGCCCAAAAGAAGAAGACACCCAAACCTCGGGCGTCCACTGCTCCCAAGAGGGTGACTACGGCGTCATTGGCAGAGCAGCTTGCAGGCTTAGCTCAAAGTCTCCCTGCTATATCGTCCCAGCTCGAGGCCATGAAGAAAAGACAAACCAGGGTGGAGTCACTCTTGGAGTCTCCTTTGAGGGCGGGGCCAGCTGTTCCGGTCCCAGCCCATCGGCAGCCTTTTCAAATGCCGGAAGGTGTACAAGTGAAGGCCTCCCCAGGGAAGTTTCTCCGAACCATTTGGAGTCCCCCTCGTGTGAGGCCCCTCCCTACCAATCCGGACACGGCTCGTCCGCCCCTGCCCATCCAGATGGTCGAGGACGAACCAGTCGCCCTTCCCTCCGATCCAGACTATGTGCCCGCGAAGCACGCGCCGACGGCTACAGACCAGCCTCTGCAAATCTCGGATCTTCTGCTACAGCAGTCTCAGGCTCTGACTTCGTTGGTGGCTCATCTGGCTTCAGGGGATGGCTTGCACGACTTGGGATCGTCTACCAGCTCTACCGGCCTATCTCTCCGAGGCTCAACCAAGCGGGAGAAGTTGATGGGCGATTTGAGTGCCAGGAAGGGGGAGTTTTTCCTCAAGGTCTCCCAGAATGCCTTCAGGAGACTGAAGCCGTCCGAGCCGGTTCCAGTGAGTCTAGTCGACATGAGGGGCAAGAGTCTTTTCAACAAGTATGCCGAACGGTGTGGTGGCTTCCAAGGCCAGCGAGACCTCGGCCTAGTGATGTGGCTCCTGACTTGCATAGCCGACCAGATGATTGCCGGCGATGTGAAGGGCGCCCAGGAGATGCTAGCCTTGCCTCTGGTGACGGTGGAACAGGCCGCAAGATGGAGGAAAATGGGATGTGGCCTGGCTCCTGTCGCTTCAGGAAGATCCGCCTCTGGGCCTTTTCCAAGCACGACCAGCCACCACAAACCCGAGGCTGCGGGCTTTCGCCCCTCTGTGTCCGCCCGAGTGGGCCACCATCGCTCTGGCCTATGTCAAGGAGGTGGACCTGATCAACTCCTGGAGGCAAGAGGCTCTCCCAGGAAAGAAAGGAAACCCCTCCAAAGAACACGAAGAGGGCGACCAATGGCGGAAGAAGCCTCCACGCCATCCAAAGAAGAACAAACCTCAGGAGGGCCAGTGAGAGGTGCGTGTCGCTATGGATCACACAGCGGAGGCACCAAAATACCAGAAGCAGAGGGTTCCTTATGTTCCGGTCTATGTTCCGACACAAGATGTTGCCAGACTGCAAAGGAGCTCCCTCACAGCACGGATGCTTTTTCCTCGGCTCCTAAGAGTACATCCTCTCCTTGGAGCTCTATGAACTATTCTTTTGATCGCTGGACCTACGACTTGGTCAAGGCGGTCTTGAGTTCCCGTACACCTTTTTCAGAATTCGTACGTCAGACCTTCTACTGCCACAGAGGACCATGCATGTCTCTGAAGAAGCTCTTTTTCCATTGCCTGTGCCAAAGCCTGGTGTTTTCAAGGTGGCAAAGTGTGGATCCCGGGAGAGAAAGAAGAGGAGGTTCGATCAGGCCTTCCATGTTTTCGTGATGGCTTTGAACTTTTGGCACTCCGACTTCCACTTCATCCCAGTCAAGCTGATGACCCGACCACCGAACAAAGCACAAGCCATGGCGCTAGAGAATCTCGGGGCAATGATGAGAGCTTTCGGTAGCTGTCGGGAAGAGTTTCATGTCCCAGGCAGTGGCCGTAGACTTCCTACTTTGGTGTCGCTCCTGGATGACCTGTCCGACTTTTTGACTCGTGAAGGGCATGGCAGCGATCCCTATTCCAGAGCTTTCCCGGGTGCACCTGAACCTACAACAGGCACTGTTCTTGAGCGGGATTTCTCCAAGGCCGAAGAGCTGATTCCTTATCGCACTTTGGACCCTGCTCGATTGGCGCTATTTGGTTCTGTTTCCTGGGATCTTTCACCTTACCTTTCTGACAAACTTTGGCTGGCCTATCAAGAGCCTGAAGTGATTCGTTGGACTCGAGATGGCCGCACTCCAGATGTTCCTGACCTCAAGAAGGAGTCCTACCAGTCCACCTTGGGCCTGGCAAAGATCTGGGACCGTCAAGGACTGCTCTTCATCCGGGATGCCCCCCTTGTTGAAGAAGAGATGGATCTCTCTATGAGGTTTTTCAATTGCTACAAGAACTCGACTACCGATAGAATGATAGGAGACCGCAGGTCCCGGAACTACGTGGAAGCTAGACTGACTTCGGCATCCAGGAATCTGCCTTCTTCCCAAGCGCTGTTGGACCTGGAGATTGATACGTCCCACCAGCGGATCAGCATCTGTGCCTCTGACAGACGAGACATCTACCACCAGCTCAGGGTCTCCTCACAGCGGGCCTCCTCGAATGCGGTTTTCCCTTTGCTCAACATCGATGATCTCAAAGGCACCAAAGCCTTTTCCTCCTGGGCTCTTCGAAGCCAGAGAGCTCCAAAGTATGATCGCTTCCTTCATGGGGATGGCCTAGGAGGACATTCACGACGCGCCCTACGTCCAACCGGAGATTGTGATGGCCTCTTGCAGATCTGTTTTGGTAGCATTCCCCAAGGAGATCATCTGGGCGTAGAGTTTGCCACAGAAGGCCATCGAGCTCTCCTGATTGAGAATGGTCTCTTCCACGGTGATTGTGAGCTTCGAGCTGGCCATGTTTTCCGGGGCGAGAGGCTCGCTTCTGGCTTGGTCATCGATGACTTCTATGCCATATCCATTGAAGAGAGCTATCGGCTCGAAAAGAAGAGCCTTGCAGTTGAGCAGATGGAGGAGGCCTCTGAGGTCTATCGGAAGGAAGGTTTGCTTGGCTCTCCGGACAAAGATGTATGGGATGCTTTGAAAGCCAAGATCACGGGTGCTGAGATTGATGGCAGTCTCTCTGCTACAAAGTTTGGACTGGTCACTATCGGAAGTCCTGTACGGAAACGTCTTGCTCTGGCTTTTGTTTCTCTTCAGCTGGCCAAGTTGAGGTGGACTTCGGATTCACTCTGGAGCTGCCTGATAGGCGGATGGACAAGTGCAATGCTGTATCGGAGGCCTGCCATGTCTCTTTTTTCCGAGGTCTACCAGGTATGCCCCATGGACATGGTATGCCAGGATGCTCCCAAGCTGATCCCTCTGGCTCGCAGAGCTGCGCAGGAGGTTCTGCTCGTGGCCGTACTTTGCCCCATTCTTTGCACGGACATTGCCTCGGGCTTCCAGTCAAAGCTCTATGCTACTGACTCCTCAGACGCCAAAGGAGCTATTGTTGAAGCCAAACTGGATACCTCGACTCTTAGGATGCTGTGGCGATCAAGTCGACGGAAGACCTCCTACTGCAGGATGCATAGCAGAACCGAGGCCGCTATCCGGAAGATTGATCCCATGTTTGAGGAGGAGCCAGGAGAAGAGAAGAAGGATGTGATCCATCCAGACCGCCCTCATGCCTTCAGGTACCACTTCATTGAGGTCTGCGGTGGAGCCGGCAAAGTGACTGCAGCGGTCGCTTCACATGGCTGGGTGGTGGGCCCAGTCATCGATCTTGACAGATCTCCTCACTATGATCTGTCTTGCCTGCAAGTCCTTCGATGGATGTTTTACTTGCTGGAATCAGGTTTGCTGGCTTCTTTTATGGTGGAGCCCCCGTGCACTACTTTTTCGCCAGCACAATATCCAGCAAGCAGGAGCTATCAACAACCTCGAGGTTTCTCTCCTACTGAGCCTAAGACCCTTCTTGGCACCACTTTGGCTTTGAGGGCTCTCTCGTTGATGAGTATGGCCGGAGCTCTCGAGGTACCAGGACTCCTTGAGCAGCCTCGCAGAACAAAGATGAGGAGACTGACTGAGTGGCTCACGCTCATCCAGCTCGGTCTTTGCCATGAAGTCTGGTTGGCTTCTTGCATGTACGGTTCCATCCACAAGAAAGAGTTCGTGTTCCTCTTAGCAGCCATGGACGGAGGGGACCTCCACAGGAAATGCCATTCTCATGTCCCTATTCAGGGAAAGTATTCAAAGCCTTCCGCGACCTACACCGACCAGTTGGCAGAGGCCCTGGGTAGGTCCTTCAACCGAGCCCTCCTCAAAAAGCTCAGACAGGTGGCCAGTGAAGATCCTTCTCTCAGTGGCCTGGAAAATCCTATGTGCAACGACCTCCTCCTCAGTGGCAACTGGAAGGTCACAAAAGCTTGGAGGTGGAGACATCCAGCACACATCAACATACAAGAAGCATCAGCGGCTACTCGTCTCTTGAGGCTCCTGGCCATCAAATCCCCGAAGTCCAGGCGAGTTGTGGTCATGGATTCCAATGTCGCTCTTTCTGCTTTGGTCAAGGGGAGGTCTCCTTCTCTTGGGCTCCGCCGAGTGCTTCGAAGAGCAGGAGCTACGTGCATAGCAGGTTGCTTGTACATGGGCTATCGTTTTGGGCCTACTCGTCTCCTCCCAGCTGATCATCCGACCCGAGACAATGATTTGCCTGCTTCCTCAGAAAAAAGCTTCTTGCAGTGCTGGACAGATGGCCAGAAGTATGATCTCCAGCTGGAGAAGCTGTCGGTCCCTCGAGTTGCGGCAAATTGGGTCAGAATGTTTTTGAGACTTCTTGGCAACCCGCCCCCGTGGCTGGGGAGCAGCGACAGTTGGAGATATGCTCATGTGGTCTACAAGCGCTACCCCTTTGGTCTGGCCTCACGAAAGGGCGCAGGAGCTTCACAAGATGACACCGACTTCAATGCCTGTCTGGGCTACCCTGGAGAAGGCCATTGGGCAAAACATTCCTGCTTCCACCCCTTGGATTTTGGCTCTGGCCCCTTCAGGGGGCCTCAGTTCCCTGGTGGACTTCTTGGAATTTGGATTTTGCCTTTTGCCCTATTTGGGTTTTGCCTGCGTTTAGCTCCCTCTCTCTCCTATGCAGTCTCAAAAGTCGTCACTTGGCTATGTTCTTGGACTTGGATTGTCTCTCATGGGATTTCCTCATGTCTTTGGACTTTCATCCTGCTTTCATGTCTTGGCTCCACCGGCCCCTCTTCCAAGAGTTTTCTTCACCGCTACTCTTGCTACCGGGCACACAGACCACCCTGGGTTCTTTTAACCTTTGTTTTGTGTGTACATATTGGGGTAGCCGCGCCTAGCCATGGCCCTGGATTGAAGCCTCGTGACCCAAGAGACCAAGGACGAGCAGAGAAGAGAGCACACCTGGATTTGCCCCAAGGGAGGCCTGTTTCAGGCCAGACTCAAAAACAGCGTGATCAGCTACTAGAAGGTTTTGATGTCTGGCTCAGAGAGCAAGGCCTGACTCTGGAACAGTTGCTTTTTGTTGGTGAGCCCGACATCGACACCATCAACATTTTGTTGCAGAGTTTTGGCCGCCAGGCCTACAAGGCAGGAAGACCGTACAACCACTATGCCGAGACCATTAATGCAATTTCTGGGAAACGTCCTCGCGTCCGCAGGTCATTGCAGCCTGCCTGGGATCTGGCCTACACATGGCTGAGACAGGAGCCTCCCAGCCATCACCTGGCTTTACCTTGGCAGGCACTCTTGTGCCTGCTTTCGACTTCTTTGAGTTGGGGGTGGGCAAGAGTGGCTGGAGTGATTGCCCTTTCATGGGGCAGCTTGAGCAGAATAGGAGAAGTGTTGAATGCAGTGAGGAAGCAGTTGGTCCTGCCCTGTGACGTCGAGTTTTCGACCGACTACGCTTTGTTGCAAATAGCTGAAGCAAAGACGAGGTACCGGGCCGCTCGACATCAGGTAGCTAGATTAGATCAGCCCCAGCTGCTACAGGTCATTGAGATCGCCTTCTCGAAGCTGACCCCGGAGGCAAGGCTCTGGCCGATGTCAGGCCAGGCGATGCGCAATCGTTTCCAGAAATTGCTGGCATGTGTTGGGCTGGCTTCGCTGCCAGATGGCCTCTCAAGAGGCCTCGACCTTGGAAGTCTTCGAGCCGGGGGGGCATCCTGGCTGTTGATGACAAGTGAAGACTCCGAACTGACCCGCCGCCGCGGACGGTGGATCAGTTCGAAAGTCATGGAGGTCTATGTTCAGGAAGCATGGGCAATCCAGTTTCTGCCAATGCTTCCATCTCCGACCAAGTCGATCGTGATTTCTGGAGCTTCCAATTTTCCTTGGATCCTTTCCAAGGTCTACAGATTGTTTGCAGCAGGTGTGCCAGAGTCAATCTGGCAGTTGCTTCTGACACAACAAGCAGCTCCACTTCGCATGAAAGAGTTGGGAGAGAAAGTCTTGGAAAAAGATGAAGCGGGTGGTGAGCAAGCACTTAAGGGCATGAAGCCCCTGTGAAGATCCCGCACGGCAATGGAAGGAAAAGAGCGCCTTGAAACACTGTCCTACAGTGTTGAATGACAGCGCTTTCACGCTCAAAGCTTCACCCAAAACCCGCCCTCCCGCTTGTTGAGTCAGAGGGTGGTGAGCAAGCAGTGAGGTGAGGCTCTGTGACGCACAAAAAGTGGACAACTGATGGAAGATGTTGAAACACATGCCTTGAAGAGATAGAACACGATAGAACTGAACCAAGTTAGTTGACTTGGCCTGAAGGGAGTCTTTCTCGACGGCTCTGGTCGGCGTGTGGGTGGTGGCTTCTACCGCCTTGAAGCAGCCCAAGCTTTCCTGGAGACCGGTGGCAGCAGGTGCCCGGTGACGAACCAACCCATTGCCAAGGTCAAAGAAGTGCCCAGCATTTTGGAGGACATACATGAGGATATGTCTTGGGTGATGTTGTTGGAGTGTGCTAGAGATGTGGACTCAGATTGGGAATCGCTCTGTGAAGTGCGCTGTTTGGTTGGAGGACCCAAAGACTTGGTTCCGGATTTGTGACGTGGATGGAGATCGTCGCCTAAGCCGAGATGAGGTCATCAGTGCATTGAAGGCACAGCTCCCACTAGCTACTTGGAACGCAGGAAAAGTGTCGGTTTATGTTTTCTTTGGGGCCCACATCCTTATTTATCCCACCAGGGCTGATTGCATTTGCTCTAAAGCTTGAATTTCTTCGTGCCCAGGACCATATGGCGATCGAGAAGTTTCGCACCGATGAAGCAAGCTGGCGAACATGGGACACCGACGGGCCGCTCGCCTGAAACCAGAAATCGAACATTGCGGACTGCTGGAGGCCTGGAAGATGTGCAAACTCAATTTAGACTTCTCAGCATGGCATGAAGCCCCGAGGAGTGGCTTTATCGAGTACGTGGAAATCATGGACGAAGAGTGGGGGTTGCTGAAGTTCATCCGTGACACCTTCACAAAGTCAGAGGCAGAAAAACCAGTCCCAGATCTTCGGAAGGACCGTGATGGCTGGTACAGGCAGGAGGTTTGCTTCATACTTTTGAAAAACATGCAGGCCTTCCAGGTAGGTTGTGCGAATCAGGCGTTGGGATGAAGATGGAAGTGGCGAACTGGAGTTTGAGGAGGTGGTGAGGGCTTTTGCCAAAAGCTTCAGAATCAACGTTGCTGGCATTTCGCAGCTTCGGGAGACGCTACGGGCGGTTTGGTGTGTCTTTGACACCGATGACTCAGGGGCGATTGACTGGAGGGAGTTCATGGCTCCCAACGAAGGTTTGGCAGATACAGTTATTGCGAGCATGAACTACATGTGACCCGACCATTGAGCAGAGATGAAGTTCGTGAAGCGATTGGAAAGAACCAGGCTGACTCGTCCCTAAACCGACTGGGTTTGTCATACAGCATACGGCTGTTCTGATAGTGAAGGCCTGAACATCTGACAACGGAGCAGTGTACGCCCAAGGAAAGCTACCACGACTGCTTTCCGATGACGTGTGTATAAAGCCCGTCAAGGGCAGCAGGGATGCCTCAAGCGCACCACTTGGCAACTGCAAAAAGAGACGACCATGGTGGGTTGCCTCGTTGCCTTTGTGCCATGAAAAGAGCGCACATTGTGTCCATTGCAAGCTGTCTGATGTCTGAGGCCGGCGTGCAATCGCTAGCAGAGAAGTTCAAACTGGATGAGCGAGCAGCCTACAAGCTTAGCGAGGCAGGCATGACAATCCATGCATGATAAGGCTATAGGGAGGGTCCTTGTTGAGTTCAAGGTAGGCAAACGTTGTTGTGGTGTCAGAGTTGAAAGTGCAGGTGCAGTCCTTGGTAGCAGGAGTCAGCTCAGTTTTTTCTCCTCAGGTGCTGTCGACAAAGCCCAATAAGACCTGGCCTTACAGACGACCAATCCTGCAAGCGGTCCTTGCTGGACTGGGATCATGGGATTTTCAGCGAGGAAAGATGTTCTCAAAGCTTTGGATGTACACTTGGCAGCTTGCAGCCCAGCTTGGTCATGCTTCGGCAGTTCTGGATTGTTTGATGGAGAGAGCCTAGCATGGCCCCATGCTTGCACGCCAGGGGTCTCAGATCGTGCTCAAACTTTGCAATCTGCTTTAGGCCTCCAACAATCCTTCCGCGTTGGTCATGTTGAAGTTGAGACCTCAGTTTCGGGGACAGGTGCCACAGGTTTAGCGCATTGAAAGTTGAAAGCTAAGGCTGGCTGATTTGAGGAGGGATGTGCCGCTGGGAGAGGCACTGGAAGTGACAGCAGGATAGGATGTAGGGACACTGCCCCATTCCGAGGTTCCCTATGGAACAAAGGGGTACAGAGACCGTGCGGAGCTTAGTGGTCGATGGAGGGCTGCAGGAAAAGGTGAACCTTGAACTTAGGGCCCTACTTGGGGAACTATGACCGGGATGGTCGCCGCATTGGCAGGGGTGAGGACAGGACACAGCAGCAGGCCCTTTTCGCGTTGCCTTTGAAGAATGGTAACTGGTTTCTTTGCTTCCTTGCCCTGCTTCGCCTTGCCCTGCCTTGCTTGCTTTGCTTGCTTGGTCTTCCACCTGGTCTTCTCCTACTCGAAGAAAGGATACAAGGCTTGTGTGTGCCCCGTTGCTCCATCTTGCTGCATGTTCTGGCATGTTGCTGCATATGTTGCTGCATTCACATTCAAAATAAGTGAAAGGAGTGGTGGCACACCGGTAGTCATCACCCAACCAAGGCACCGCAAACTTACTGGGACCTGCAACCTGGACCTGGATTGCACATACCTGTGTCCTGTGTTGATCTTGATGCGCTTCTACTGGACCCTTCTTGGCAAACACAACATTGAGATGGCCTTTGCATAGTCTGCATTTGATTTAGTTCATTCGGATTGAGCTTCATGCGTGCAAACGTGCGTGCACACAGTGCACACACACACACTTATAGAAATGCGTACCGATTTGAATGCCGCACGTCACACGGCAACCTAAGGGACCAGAATCCTGAAAAGTCAAGAGAGGGGTCTGAGCACCTGTAGTTAAAGGCCAAACATCAACACCACCAGGCGACGAACAGGTCGAGATGACGGCGTCCGCTCACATCTGCAGATTGCATTAGCCCTTTGCTGGAGAGTGGTGTCACAGCTTGTTCAAAAGTTCAAACCATCGCAGGTACGTTACGGTGATCAGCCGTGATATCCGCATGTACTGTGGCCACTTCGTTGGACCATCGCTCACAGCACATGGATGGTCCCCCTGCTGAAAAAGAACGAATCCATCAGGATCCCTGTGACTCCAAGGGTTACACACACTATATATATATACACATATAAATAGAATATTTATACACGTACATAGACGCATGCATATTTTATGCGAACGTACTTCTTTGTACGTGCGCAACACACTGCATAAACCGGTTCTAAAGTTGAGGACGTGCCTGTTTTTGGCTTGTGTCTGCTGTTTGTTTCCTACTTGCTTCCGGAGTAGGTCTGCCAAAAAGTGTCACCAACTTGGAGGGACCTGCTGGCATGAACACAACATGTTTCATATCGCTTCGACACAATGCTTCCCTAACAGGCGGCTGGGGAGGGACCTCCTGCGCGTGGTGAGCGCGGCTTGGCATGACTATGGCTGCATGAATGAGAAAGTAACGCGGCAAGTAACAGCCTGAGGCGACAAGAATGACAGGCAGGGGTGGCTGTTGTCACTTTTGCTTAATTCTTTGTGCAGTTTCGAAAGCCGTGTGCTAAACCGGGATCAGATTGGCTCAGACGTGTAGTGTAGCATTTCCAAAGGGAACAAGTCCCATGGCAGCAGAAGATTGGAAGGATAGAAGCTTGGCATGGAAAGGAAGTATGTTAATGGCAGGGGCAAGCCGGACTACTGCCACAGAGTAGGCTGGCGGCCTTCTCCAGTCCTTCTAAGGCAACATTGGTGCAATTGGCACTGATGAAGATAAGGCTTTGAGGAAAATGGCGGCGACGAAGGAGCCATAGACGAACCTCTTCAATACTTACCCATTTACCAGGGTGCAGTTTCAGCTGTTCCAGGGCGCAGTCAGATTCTAGTAGCTCTCTGGAACTGGGTCGGTGTACCCTCGTGTTTCGATGCCACATCATTGACGTGCAAGCTTAAATTGGACAGGTGTTAAAACAAAGCAAACATGTTGAGCTGCCTTGAAGGAGCCTGCATGGGCTGGTGCCGGATCTAAGCCTGGACTTCTTGTGTGGCGAGTTGAGCACTTCCATGTGGTACCTGTAGAAACTAAGCAGTCATTTATGGGCAGAGGCGTCAGTCCTTCTGGAGCATTCTGGCCGCTGCCTGTCCCAGATTTTGCTTCCAAGGACCCTGGGAGCTACGGAAAGTTTCACAAAGGTGACTCCTACATTGTGCTCCAGACGGTGGAGACCGATAGCGGCAGCTCGTGAATAGCTTGCGGCAGTGCTATGCTTTTGGAGCCAGGGCTTGGCGGTTCATAGCTTGGCTGGTCAACAACTTCCATATCGTCTCCACAGAATTAGGTCACGAAGTAGTGTCCAGCCAGTGTTCCTCCCATTTTCCCAATCTTCCTGTGTTCCACGCAAATCCCAGGCAAATTGGTCCACACCATCTACTTTTACATAGGGACGGAAAGCTCGATCGACGAGAAGGGAACTGCTGCATACAAGACAGTTGAGCTTGATGATCTTCTTGAGACTCAGCTCATACCTTCCTCGAGCCGAAAGGGACCCACACCTTCCTGCGCAGGTAGACATGTTACTCATAGAACTCCTAGACCAAACAAAAGGGGGAGAGAGAGAGGGAGGAAGATTGCATGCAGTTCGTTCGCAGGTTATACAAATCACAAGTTCTATACAGGCTGTATACCAGTTTCTTTCTGGTTCTCCGCCTGGAGATTTTTGCATCAGAGAGGCTTGCGCTTCATATTATGGGCGTGCTTATCCCCCACCACACTTGCAAAGATTCAATAGTCGGTGAGGGTCCTGCGGCCTCATAGCTCGGTTTACACTGTTTACACAAGAAAATGAGCGATTAGTATTAGGAGGCCATTAGGTGGAGGCCATCGCTACTAGGTTGGGGGCCATTACTGCTAGTAGCAAGAAGCTACTTGTCACAAGAAAAAGAAATCCCTCGTCTAAAACCATAGCCTGGACATTGTGTACTGACATGGAGCGAAGGGCTTGAGTTCATGCATGAAGGGATTCATAGAAAGCACTTTTGGAGTTTAATCCTGTGCTAGGAAATTGTGCAGTGTGAACACTCACATCACCGGGAATAGACACATCCGGCCTGGGCTGACTGCCAACTACTTTGGCTCAAGGCATACTTGGAAAAGCTGAGGCTGCTTCGCATGTCGATCGCCGATTCGAGAGCTGCTTCTGCATAGGTATATCCAGGTATCGAGCAATCAATTGGTTATCAGCCGCAAGGGCTACAAGAGACCATTGGTTGGAAGAAAGAGAAACGTGACTATATACATAGCATCGTGTCAAGCTTGGCATACTGCATTCACACATACCTACAAGGTGTGAGAGATCATTGAGCTGAGTGGAGTTTGAACACAGATACTTGTTGTTTGAACTTCCACTCTTTCGCCGGCCGGCGCGACCCATGCCTCCGCGTGAGCGTGAACGCGAGAGATCGTGGAGAAGACGTGGACCACGTGGCGGGAACCCAGATCGCCCGTCGCAGCTGAGTAGAAGGGAGCGCGGTCTTCCTACAGAGGATCGCGGTAGAGAGACTGAACGTGACGCTCATCATCGTGAACGAGGAGTTGACTATCGTCGTGTTGAGCGTGGGCGTGGTCGAGATCGCGCAAGTCGCGATAGTCGAGATTGGCAGCGATCTGGACGAGGACGAGGTCGAGTCGAGAGGGAGCGAACTCGAGGGAGCGGCCCTCTCGCCGCACCAGCCCAGGTATCCACCTCCGCACGTGGTTGAGACCTGGGAGACGCGTCGGGCTCCAACACGCCGGCCGAGTGAGAGTGCTTCGGAGGAAGAACCACCTGAGCACGTTGGGCGTGGGCGTACAGAACGATCGGTCTCCGCGAGGATCGTGGCAGAGAGTGTGGATTTGGGTCCCTGAGGGCGGCTTGAGCCCGGTCAGGGACGAAGGCCTTGAGCGCGATCAGGATTCGCGATCAGGCGAGGTTGAAGAGGTAGAACTTGAAGGATCTTGAAGGTGAATCCATTGACGCCGAGGCAGGTGAGCCCAGGACACATCTTGCAGAACCTGTTGAAGTTGCCCCGGAAGCCCCTGGTTGTTGTTTGGGGCTGGATCGGCCGTTGACTTCTCCGCGACTGAGGATTCGATCGCGAGACAAGCCACAGAAGCAGCGACAGCGCGTTCGGCCGACACGCGCCGCGAACGAGCCCGTGAACTTCGTTCGAAAGCAGCTCGTCCGACTGCCAGCAAGCCATCCCCTTCGGTGAGCGAGGATCCGCCAGAAGAACGGGCGCCCGTTGAAGAGCGTGTCAAACCCCCTCCAAGAGCGACCAGTGCAAAGGCCAAAACCAAGAAGGAGACCGACGAGGCTGGTGACGTTGGGCGTGAATCGTCGTCGCGTCAGCGCGAGGAAGAAGGGTCTTCAGGATCTGGTTTGAGGCGTGAGATTGAGGAGCTTCCGGCTCCGCCTCCTGTTCCCGGTATAAGGAGGAGATTGAGCAAGCCGAGATTGCAAGGAAACGTGAGCTAGAGAGCTCGCCCCCAGCTCCTCGACTACCTCCAGTACCGGCGACAGTGAGAGAGCCGCTCTTCGAGGCCGCGGTTGACAGAGCCCGTACAGCCAGTGGTACTCGCTCCACGCCCGAAGGAGCGTCCGACTCAGACAGAGTCGGAAGAGCCGTCCACCGCAGCTCGGCCACCAGAGCCTGAGAATCCTCCGGCAAACGCGTGGCAAGACAAGCCGCTGCTGCTTTTCGATTGGCGCAAGACGTTGAGCTTCCCGCACCAGCCAATACACGAGAGCGTGATTCAGCTAGTTCGTCGTTGTCAGTCGGAAGGTTACGCATTGGGCGTGTTGAGTTTTGCTTCAGCAAGGGATACACAAGAATCAGTTTTGGCAGGTGTGACCGACATCAACTCCAAGCTGGATCGACCGTTTGACGTGGTTGCAGTGACTCGTACAAAATTCCTGCGGGACCACGTTCAGAGTCCGTCCCTCACTGGCCATAGCGGCCCGAAGGCCCAGATTGTCACGGAACTGGGTGCATTGGTGTTTCATCGACGACCAGGGGGCGCTCTTGGCTGACGTCAGGCACTGGCAGCGTGATCTTCCTCAGGGAGGCCGGACGCATCTGGTGAAGCCCGGGGTCACGCTTGAGCGGCTGCTGAGATCGTTCCCGCGTCCGGGAGAGCTTCCCAGTGCGAGGGAGCTCGGACGCATTTTGAGTCGGTGAACGAGGAGAAGATCAGCCAGTGTCGCGTTGGGGCATTTTGCATTGAGCAGGCATTGGTTGACTGGTGGTTGAAGCGTTGTGCAATAAATCTGTCGGCTGAAAGGCCACGTGTCGGGTTGAGCACAACTATGCATTGTTGAGACATTGTGCATTGGTCTTTTGAGACTTCGTGCGTTGAGCAGGTGAGGCTGGACACAATAAATCTGTCGGCTGGAGGCCACGTGGCGGGTTGAGTGACGGCTTCCTTTGGCGCGTGGCAGAAACCCGCGACGCCCGATCGCGCGCCGTGCAGTGTAAAAGGGGGAGGATTGAGCGTTCCGAGAGGCCCCAAGAGTCAGTTGATTGTGAGTTATTGTTGGTGTGATTGTTCCTTGAATACGAAGCCACTCACTCGAAACTTGTGTTTTTGGATCAGTTGAATATAAGACATTGAGTTGAGCTGTGTTGGATTAGAGTCGATCGCTTGGGTTGAGATTCACTTCATTGCACCTGACAGTCGATGTCAAAACGGTCGGTTCCTGCAACACCCTTTCGTGTCATCGGTCCTGAAGGCTCCTACGAAACCTCGAGCTCATCCATTTCGCCGGAGACTGGGCTCGCGAGGATGGAGGGTGAAACAGGGACTGGTGGAGGACCCGGGCTCCAAGTGAGCGTGCCGGCCAAGGGAAACACAAAAGTTGCAGTGAGTCGTATGAGAACCCAAACTTCTGAGCCTTCCCAACCTTCTGGGGTACAAGGTGATCCATCGACCGTTCCTGGGGTGCATGTCTACGACCAGAGAACCCTCAACCATCTACAAGTACTCAACCAGCACAACATCGATCCAGAGACACTTGAAAGAATTGTTCAGGGTTACGTTCAATCGCAGTTGAGCCATGCAGAACAGGTGATACAGCACGAACGACAACAGCATCAGCTTGAGCAGCAAAACGCAGCACTACAGCTGAGCCTTGAACACCAACAGATGAACCAACACATACAACAGCAAGAAGCCCAAATGGCACAAGAAGTACACAGCAGAATCAGCCAAATGGCACAGAGGCACAAGCAGAAATTTTTAAGCATCAACAAATAGCAGAACAAGCGCAACGCGAGATACAACGCGTGACAGCTGCAGCAGAAGCCAGGTTTCAAGACCTTGCGCGTGAGAACGAAGCACTTCGAGCGTCTCCGGTTGCAGGTTACTTTGATGCGTGTCCGTCGGAAGCCGGAAGAGCACCATCTGTTGCTTCAGCCTCGCCGTTGAACGTTGTGTACTGCCATGTGTGTGGGAATCAAAATGTTGTTGGTAGAGGTTGGTGTTGGAACTGTAAGAGCAATCTTGAAGAGCCCGAGAATGGTACGGACCCTTTTGAACCACCATCTCACGAGAGACATATGTACCCAATGCCTACGCGACCTTCAGAGGAACATTGTGTCGCATGAAGGACCAGCCCATGCAGAAGTTCCTCTTCCTCGAGCCCCTGGCGGTCCGGGACCGTGTGGCATGCCGTGTGGTGCAATGCATGATGGTTCACATATTCACCATCTTGGTGTTGACCCCAGGTTGGTCTATGGAATGTCTCAGAGTCAGGCAGTGGTGTAGGATTTCATCGGGGCCGTTCGTTCCCAAAACCTTCAGTGGGACCGGCTTACCCACCAGGGGGGTACATCGGCGCTATTCCAGAAGCACCTCCAGGTGTGTCATCATCGAGTCACCCACCAAACATCTCCATCGCAACACCTCGCAAGAGAGAGTCATCGGAGTCTGGTGGTGGATCAGGGAGCTTGGATGGTTCATCCGATGAAGGCTCAAGAATGCCGGCAGGCAACCCTCCTGAATCTTGGTTGCTTGACGGTGAAACCGAAGACAACGTGTACAAAATCAAGCGCCTGAGAAACATCTCAATCACCAAGTTGCCAACAGATGCAACATCTTGTAGAGAGTGGCGTGCTGCGTTGCTTGCGTCGGTGTCGCGCATGGATCTCACTGCGCGTGATGTGTTGGTCAAGTATACCACTCATTGCATGGATGCTGGACGAGGTCGGACTTTCAGGGCTACGCTCCAGAATGACCAGTCGTTCATCCCCTTCAACAAGCGCATCGCCGCCGAGCTCATCAAGCAGGACGTCCTCTCCACCAACACGGATTTGGCCCATGAGCTCACTTCCTATGTTGAAGCGTGTACTGCATTCAGCCAAGGTCCAAAGGGAATGGTGTTGTTGAACATTGTTGCGTCGTACTATGAGACTGGCTTGACTCATTCAGTTGCGCTTGACCAGATGCACTTGTTGTCGTTGACGCTTGCAGGCA